CTGGGAGCTCCATGCTGATAAATGTGTGAACTATCAAAAACAGTGTTGTAGAAACAAAGGCACCTAGAGGAGTTGGGAGACGGCGAGATGTCTCACTTTGTTCTTGATGTGCGTTCAGAGCACTGCGGTGACTGACTGACTGCGTGTTGTTTTGTACCCAAATACGTTTTTTGTCTCTAAAGCTTCCCGGGTGAGGCGAAGCTATTTTAACCCGAAACATTCTCAGTGGCTCTGCTTGAACGGTACCTATCAACATTCCCCATGCTGTCGTGGTCAACATTTCGTAACACTCCTAATCATTGTCGATTCTTCATGGACTTGTTTGTGTTTTTGTCTGTCTTTTAGTCTTGTTGTGCTGACATGACTGTTACTTCTCTTGTTTGTACGCTTTCTTTCATAATATTATGTCCTCATGTCCTGTCTCTGTCTTTGTTGTTGTCAAATTAAAAAAAATCTCACCGGCCTTGTCTGTCTTCGGTCCTCTTTTCATTTTCCTCAACTAATTGTCTTCAATCATCACCACACTTATTTTTTTACAAATTCTTTCCTCCATTTCCTCCTGTACTATAGATAAACTTAAATTGAAGTTGAACTGCTGTATAAATGCTTTTATTGATTTCCTCCCTGTGTATCAGTGTGTGTCGGGGAGTGAAGGAGCAGAGGCTGCAGTCCGGTGGCTTTCCTCACACTCAACACTTTATCCCTCTTAACAAGATGTTGTTTGAGAAGATCCCAGAATAGCCCAAGTTCATAGAGACACACACGCAGCCAAGGCGGAGTGCAAAAGAGTGCAAGCACCTGTGTCTAAATACCTAATGTGCTGTTAATGTATAGTTTGGGACCTGCACATTGCGGTTTAACATGACATTCACCTGTAAAGCAAGGTTAAATTGTAGTTTCCTAAGTCTTCAAATCCTTAGAACAATCAGGGGTGAGGATCATAACACCTCATAACATGCTCCCTCTCTTAATGGGTGCTGGACTATTGTTTTAAAATATGCCTATTCTTCGTCAAATAAATGGTTTTCTTATAAATGTGTTGCCTTAATGCCCAACATCTGTGCCTGACTGCTCTTATGGTTTAATGATGTCAATTTCCTGCAGCCATGTCTTAAGATGGAGTCTGTTTCAGCAGCAGATCGGTATTTATTGTTTTCATTGAGCATTTGAAACATTTACATAGATCTAATGTAATGTTCAGTTAAACCATGTAATCCATATACAGTTGCTCTCCTCTTTCGTACACCTGCCTCCTCTCTTCCATCTCATATTTTCTAGTGTTTGCGTGTGTGTGTGTGTGTGTGTGTGTGTGTGTGTGTGTGTGTGTGTGTGTGTGTGTCCTAGCACAGCTAGCCCTAATAGTGAGGAAAGAGGGGGAGGAAATGGGAAGCAGTTTTTCAGCGTCGGCACTGATGTGGCCATCCTTTGAGGGAGCGGGTGAAGCAGAGGGAGAAATGTGCTGTGCCAGCGAAAAAAGCAGCATCTGGTGCTGAAGTGCAGTTTCAGCAGAGAGCTGCTGGTATTCACAGAAGTTTGGTCTGCTTCACAGAAACATATGAGGGCAGCTTATCTGGCAGGTGCACACACACACACACACACACACACACACACACACACACACACACACACACACACACACACACACACACACAGCAGGTAGATAGTGCTGACAGCAGGGAAGCATTGCTGTGTGTGTAGCTGCTCTGCTGAGGCTTCAGGGTGGCCTTGCCTTGTACCTCAGAGACTGGTTAGTTAGACATTTCCGTGTGTGTGTGTGTGTGTGTGGGTGACTGATGGCGGGTCCTGGCTGCAGGCTGCTCCGGCTCGCTGGTGTCACACTCACTCTGACAGCCCACTGTGGTGCAGTGACAGGTAAGCACTTTCAGGGAGTCAACAAAGAACCTGAAGCAAGAGGAAAGAGAGGGTAATGTCTACAGCGTGAGTGCAGGAGTTATTTTTTGCCTCGGGATATGGATGGTTGTATTTTTGTAAGAATTATGTTTCCAAGTTGATTGCTCAGTGTAAAGTTTGCTGACTTCTGAGATTTCTTCTTTTCATAGTCTTGTGTAACCTGACAGGTTCTGAAGGAGGCTTTAGTTTTAAACAGGGTGTCAGACAAAATTTGAAGTGTATTGGAGTGATACTGAACGCTGTTGTTGCTGTTGGTTACCTTGTAGCAGCCACTCAAGGTGTCACGACTCTCACACCAACCAGAACTACTGATGTAAGTCAATCTTCTCCGTCTTTGTTAATAATCTGCTACCTGGGAAGTTTTGATACGCCTTGATTCGCTTGGTTTGAATTTAGAGGTCAGAAATGTGTGTGTTTGCATGCAGGGTAATTGTGTTTCTGGTCTGTTTTGTAGCTGCTTGTGTGATGATCAAATGGCCAAAAGGCTGTAAGTTAAAAATGAATCTTAGCCGGTTTCACAAGTCATTCAAACGCTTCATGTAAAGCAGCTTCTCTTCCTGTTAGAAAAAAAGCATGTGTGTTCGTGTGAGCTATTTTTGTTGTGTGAGAGTTTCGGGTGGTGTATATGCAAATGGGATCATCAGGCAGCATCTTGCTCGTGTGTGTGTGATCCTCCACAGACGGAGCGTGCTACATACAACTCGCGAGTGGCTGCCGTGTTGGCACCGTGTCTGGTTGGCTTGGCGATAGTGGTGATGCTGGGGCTGCTGCTGGCCTTTGCCAAACTGCGAGAGAGGCGGCAGACGGAGGGAGGTTTGAGGCCGCGGCAACTCGATGCTCCTGGTGGTCGCAACCCACCTGCTGAGCTGGGAAACACATCCATCAGCACTTTGGCAGCTCGTGTGGAGCGCCTTGTGTAGAGGAGAAGTGTGTGTGAGTGTGAGAAACAGTGTGTGAGGGTACAGAAATAAGCTCCTCTAAACCAAAACGTTTGTTCCTGTCTGTTTCCCCTCCAGTTGACCTCTTCGGGTTCGACCTCTGACCTCTTACTGTCCATCAGTCTGGTGTCCGTCGTTCTGCTGCTGATCTTGATCCTCACCTCCGTCAGCCTGGTGGTGGCGCTAAATCGCCGTGCCACCCACGGCACCTACAGCCCCAGCCGGCAGGAGAAGGAGGGGTCCCGGGTGGAGATGTGGAGCATCACCCAGCCGCCGCCTATGGAGAGGCTCATATGACATGCACGCTGATAATGTGGTTATTATACAAATTAATGCTAATGATTTATAACTTAAAGGAATGCTTCACCCACACAATTATAATTTGTGTATCAATGACTCAGCCTGTGTTACCTCGAAAACGTTGATGTTTTGCTTTCACTGTGAAAGAAAGACTAAACAAACAGGAAATGATTGATGAATCAAGGTAACCCGGGATGAGTAATACATGTTTTTAGGGTGAGGTATTATTTTAAAGAATATCTGCAGCCTGGATATAACCGGGGTCTTCCTTTCCGCTTTAAAATACTGCTGTCTTTCTTCACATGCTGGAAGACTATCGGATCTTGTGTCATTTCTTTGTGTAATGGTTCGTCCCAGTGTTTCATCCATCTTCCTGGGATGTGTTGCACCTGGCTTCACCACCCAGCAGTTCATCCATCTAAATGCAAAGATTTCAGTTGAAATCGTATCGAGTCTATCATACCTATTAGTCTGATCAATCTTTTTTTTTACACACGGGTTTCATCTGCAGGCAGAATGAGTTAGACAGTTCTTCATTTGAGGATAAATATGTTTTTTTCCCATGTTCCTTAATGTTGAAAAAATTAAAGGATCAAAGTGTTAGTCCGTCTCTTAATCCCATTGGTTATACTGAAGACATTCATCTTTAAGAACAAATAAAAAAGGCTCTGTAATCTCCTAAATTAGCTAGGCACTGTCATTTTATATGAAGTGCTAAATAGTACATTTCTTAAGATCCGTTTTTATCTGCGGATTAATACACATTTGCTATTCAAGTCAATATTTAATGAAGCAACTCAAAATTAACTCAATTCAGTGTTTTGGGTCTTTTCAAGGTCTCTGACAATAAGAAAAATATAGAATACCACCATACTTATCCTCAAAATGCATTCACTTCCATCGATGTGTCTTCATTATTGCATAAAAGCATTCAAAATCCATTAGTGTTACATGTCTATACGCTGTTTCTTGCTGCCAGTTTTTATTTATTTTGAGGGTATATTTCAATAAGAAATACTCTCACTCCTCACTGACAGAATAATGTAATTTAGAAGTCAGGTTTTAAGAAACATTAGCTGAGAGTAGTTTCTTAGTTTCCTCTGGGTTGACTTGTATGTACTTAGCTAGCTGTAGTGTCATTTTAATTGTATATACCATAATAGTGATGATTTTGGTTTATCATGTTTGAAACTGTGAATTTCATTTCTACTTTTAATTGTTGGAAGCTATACAAAAAATGTTCTGGTTAATAAAGTTAATTTATTTTATGTCGACACAATGTTATGTATTTTCTAGTGTTGCTAACTGTATTACTGTTAGAGAGCATTAGCATTTTCTTTCTTTGTATGCAATAATAAATTCAGTGAACAGATATTCACACAGATTATTTCCACATCTGGTTGTATCTTTCTATGTAAAAAAAACATTAAAAGGTCCCCTATTATACTGTTTTTCATCAATATATTATAGGTCTCAGATATATACAAAACATGTCTCTGAAGTGTTTTGGCTCCAAACCAAACAGATCATGTCTGCGAGATATTTGGTTAAAAAGAACACAATGGTGCTCTAGGAGGAGATTCAGGTGATAAGGTGGTTGGTTATTGGCTAATGGTTACACAAAGCAAAAAAATCGTTATGACATCATAAAGTGGCCAAAATCTGATCAGCTCCTTTTCAGACAGGTTTTTATATCAATGCATCGGGAAAAAAAGTGAGCGCATGTTTTGTCCTGAAACTTTCAGAATCTCTTTACACAGAGGGGACACATGTTTATGCATAGAAGGCATGAAAAAGTGGATTTTGCATGATAGGTCCCCTTTAGAGTATAAATACAAATCCGGAGATGTATAAGCATGAAACAATATAATTTATTTTCAGTTCACAGTGCATACAGTTGTACCAAGTTACTCACCAATAGCACATTAGATTGACCTCAGTTTTTAAGACAGTTGTTTTCTCTTAAATGAGAACATGCAAGTGTGCACAGAATCAGACAATCAGTTAATGGCATATCGAAGAGTTAATAATCATTACAATACCCAAAAAGAGACTGAAAAAAGGTGTAATATGTCACTACGATGACAACTTCTTCTTAGAAGTGACGTTAATATCTTTGTGAGGTTGAGTGTTTTCACTCCATCAGTACCTCAGTTAACGCTGCTACACATCCGCCTACCACACTCCAATTTGTAATTTCAGGACCTCTATATATTTATTGATTACTCCATTTTTTGCAGTGTTAGTTATCCCTAGTATATTAACACATCTGCAGACATTGAAATGCAAATCACCTGACCTTTTTTTTTTAATTACCTTTAGTATTTCTTTCCACCTCTACGGTTAGATTTGAAGTAGAAATGTTTTATCATACTTAAAATGCAAGGCAGATGGCTCGTAAGTCCACAACACCTATCGCAAGGCAAAATAAATGTATAGCGCGAGACCCAACGTTGTTTCCATCATTCTCAATTTGATTGAAGCTCTAAATACTGAAATAATAATTAATACCAACAGAATAGACTGTCAAAACAAATAACAACAAAGAGGTACATACATGCAGATACAACAATGAGCATTGTACCGTTTACAAGCAAGCGCCAGTCTCTGCTGATTCTGATTAGAAGGGGTCGAAAGCTTTCCAACATGAATGGCTACACGGGACATTTGTTAATATTCTCTATTTTTTTCTTCCAAAAATAAAATCTAAAACATTCAAATATTAGGTGTAATTTTTTCTTTACAACGTACAACACCAATCATATATTATCCATGTAAAATAAACTCAAGCCAGCAAAAATACACATCTATTCAGTTGAAAATAAATGTTCCTCAATATAGAATCAACTCCTCTGAGAAATGTGTTTTTTTAAATAGAGTAAGCTCAGAACAAGTGTTTTAAAAAAAGGAATAAAATAAACACAAATGATACAAATAATCACTTAAAAGAACCATTCAGAGAAAATCTGTTTAACAAAGAGAAAAATATCCCAAAGTAATTCAAAGATCTTCTATTAAATTCTCACCAGCCACCGCAGCAGAAACACTGGACTGCAGCCCAGATGGAAACAAAAACAGCTACAACACAACGCTAGTACCCAAGGTCATTTAGCTCCGATTCTAAGGACAAAACCAGGTCTGTTTATCATATAAATTAAAAAATCTAAATGTTCCTTACTTTGATAAAAGGTGGTCTGAAAACATTGCACACACCTTTCTATAATACTGTACCTCTTTCTAATGACACTGGGTGGTACTCTTACTGTATAAGGCACACCATACACACTTTCTGTCACCCTCAGCTCACACACAGTTAAATAGACTTTCATATTTATTTATTTACGGACACATGAGGCTCCCCCCTACTAGAAACTAGATTGATTGTTATTATTTTTCAAGTAGAACTGTGCATTATAATGTCTGTTAAAGACAACTGACCTTTTTCTTTTGATAATTTGTAATATTTGCATAGTAAATATGTTTTTTTTTTAAAAAGTGTCTACAATGAGTAAGGCCAGTGCAGAGATTTTACTGGAGTCTGTTGTTTTTTTTCTCCTTTTTGGAATTACTAGGACTGTTTCTTGGGCTTTTAGAAGCACGCCAAAGACTTTATGAGCAAATCGTTAACGCAGTGCAGCACTAAAAAAGCAGAGAAATAGCTGCTATTAAACTGCCACACCGACTGGCGTCTGGCATAAATCATAAGAACAACGAACCATAAATGTAATAATCCCTACACAAGCACATGAAAAAGCTTTTCTTCTTTCCTCCGGGTATGTGGCGACGCAGAGAATGATGGGAACCCACAGTCTCTGGACGCAGCGTTCCTCTCCACAGGAGAGTCTCTTTTAGAAATACTATAGACTCTGTACACATTACATCCATGTAGCTTCTCTCTGAGGAGAACCGTATTGCTTCATTACAGTACAATCTTCAACCACTGCTTTGCATTACAGGGTGTGACTCTAACCTCCGAGGGCAGAGATTGCATTTCCTCCTGCGAGCACAGAAAGGGAGACAGACCCAGAGAACACTGAGTTATGTGATATGTCTGGTGACATTTTTCTAAATATATACTAATTATATGTTTACCTGTCCCAAACAAATGCATCTTTTACTCCTGTTTGAGTACCATTTTCTAAGAACTACAGTTCCCAGCTGTAAGGTGGAACTAAAGCTACATATTTGTGTCCCTATTCTTTTTTTTTTAATAGTACTGGTTTGGTATGGGAAATCAGTACACGGTGCATTGGAATTTGTTCCCAAAAATAAACACATAAATATATCACCAGCTGTATCCTTTAAAGTACACATTTCTGACATCCACTCCAAACCACAGTAGCTTCGAAAAAAACTGGCCGCCATTTTTAAGGTGGACAGTGCAAGTCAGATGTGCTGCAAGGACTACAAGGCAGAAACTTAGGAACATGATGGTGAAGAAAGAAAAGGACATGGAGCATTGACACTGGTATTGTCAGATCATCCTCTTAAACTTTTGAGATAATTTCCTCCTCTTCAGAGTGACAGGTGTGTCCTGAGGAACACAGAGAGGTTTCTCCATCTCATTATCTGGAATGCTATTTGAAAACAGCAGCTTAAAGCACATTATATATATATATTAACTATTCTATTATTCCAGAGAAATACAACTCTGTTTTAGTACTGCTACTGTAATGTTGCATTTAAGATCTAAGATTACAAAGTACCTGTATAGATTAAGACACCAGAGTATCAAAAACAAATCACATGTCCATTTAAGGCCTGGTGATATGAAACAGTTAGATCACACAGTGTTTAATTAACTCCAAAAGAAGAGTGGACTTTGTGTTGAAAATCCTGTCTCACTGTCCTTTTTGCTCAGTGATTTTAGTACCAGGTGGTCAAGGCTGAGTACAATTCTTATATCTACAAGTGCAAATGTATCTTGATCACGTGAAATGGTTTGGAACACAAAATAAAACAGACAATAACGTGACGAGGAGATATCGTCCCTTCATAAATCCTCACAAAGTACTGAGAGTTTTCTTATTTCATTCAAGTGAAGCTGGAAAGATCCTCCATTGCCGGCTGGATTGTTGGGCCTTTTTTTTTTCCGGAATTTGAATATAAATGTCGATTATTACAGACAGATATACTTTGATGAGCAGTAGACCCAACACTGGAGAAATGTCCTTCTTATCTAGTTGTAGATGTTTGTGTTACTTAGTGAGTGAATAAGGTGTATTTTCTTTAAACAAGTGAAAGAATCTCGCTGTACCTTGGCCTCAGTTTGTGTTTTTGAGGTGAGGTTCTCTAAGATAATTCACTAGTTTGAAGAGATTACAACTTTGTAAACTAACCAGTTGTTTTTGCTTTATCAGAGTATCCAATTCACTCAGAGGGAAAGTACCTAAATGGCATTGACAGTGAAAAATGTCACACTGTAGTGATATTATCATAACTTGTTACATTGCAAATACATGACTTTTAAGTTGTTTTCTTTTCAAATGAAGTGGAGAACTTGTTTTTTTAAATAGTTTTTTTGGTTTGAAGTAAAAAAATCTATTTAAAAAACAAGTACACATTTATTGGTTAAAACAAGTTCTAATAGTCTTACTACAGTGGCGGGTTTTTACACTTTTATCAAGAAAGCAAGGCTCTATTTTACACAGAAATGTCTTGAAACAAGGGAAGGTGTGCAAATCATTTCTGCTCTGAGGCTGTTTGTGTCTGTACGACATCATATTTGTTCAGAATGTTTCCTGATAACTGAGTGTTGAGATAAAAAAGCTCTGAGACTGTGGCTAGTATTGTGGAAGTATTACAGTGGAGAGATTTCAGTAGAACGTATGGCGTTTCACAGACAGAGGGTCTTTGAGGTCCCTACGCCTCGTCTGTGTTGTTGCTCTGCAGCGGGTGGGGGGTGTTGTTGCAGTGGACCTGGGACAGCTGCAGGCTGCTGTGGAGCACTGAGCCCAGGCAACACATGGAGTCAATCTCCTCCAGGAGGCCCTGATCCTGCACCACAGCCCCCCCCGAGCTTCTCCCCTGACCCAGGCACATGCCGAACCCCAGGAGCCCCTCCTTGGAGACCTCTTTCTCCCAGGGGATCTGCATGGCAGCGTGGCTGTGCCTGGACGGGCTGCCATCCTGCCGGCCCTTGCTGCCCTTCCTCTGGAGGGCCTTCTCCTGGTAGTACCTCACCGTCTCCTTGGACAGCACCTTCCTCCTCAGGATGCTGGTGGACGCGCTCTGGTTCTGTCCCTGAAGAGGGTCTGCGTTGCCTTGGGGGTCTGAGACCGTCCGAGCCCGGGCCGCTAGCACAGGAGAAGAGTTCGGCTGAGAACCGGGTGCTGGAGAACTGTAGGTGTGTGTGAGGGAGGGAGATGGGGGTGTAACTCTGTGGGACAGGGAAGGCGAGTAGGAGTAGCGGTCTCCTGGCTGTCGCACTGGAGGTAGAGGGTGGGGGTCCGAGTTGAGTTGGTTGGAGCTGTCTGCCTCCTGGAGCGGGGAGGTGGCTGTGATGCTGGGCACGGGGAGTTTCTTTGCCACCTTCAGGCTGCTCTTGTTGGGCTGGCGGCGGGGGGAGGGGGGGAGGTGTTTCCCGTGGACCGCACTGTCATCCTGGCCCATATTCCAGCCGCTCTGATCCCCACCCCCCCCACCGTCACTCTCATCTGCAGCAGGACATTCACTGGAAGGAGTGGGCTGGCTCTGGAACCGAAGAAACACAAAAATAACATTAAACCAATAACTTCATACAAATATTTGGTAGTTATAAAATACCTGTCCTCCTGAAAATTGTAGGGTGGAATCAATTTCCTTTACATCACCATTTTGCATTTTGATCTCAGACTCTTTTTGGTCTGTTAAATGTCAAAGAACAAATTAATGGTGATTGTTTTTGGTAGTCCAAAACACAAAGAGATTCCATTTAAATATGACAGGAGATATCTTCAAATGTGAGAGGCTATAGAGCATCTTCCGCCATTTTAGTATTTCAAATGACGATGAATAATAGATCATTTTTCTGGCAATCAGCTTATCATATAGTTTACTGATTGTTGCTGCTTTGGTACTGCTGACTGTCTAAGTGACACACAGACAGATAGGTGTAACCCTCTGTCCGTCATCATACCAATCGCCTGGTTGAATCTTATCACTGAGGCTTAGCTTATGTCAGTTGAAACAGAAACCTTTCAGATTTAACTCTTTAGCTGGGTTATCAAAGAAGTCTGTGATGGTCCTTCTTTGAAACTTTAGGCATGGGGTTGAAATTTACATATTTTTAAAAAGAATTAGAGACTTTGAGATGTTTTTAAATGGTGGCTGCAGTACCCCCAGTTTTGGGACTGGGACTCAAATGCTGAATAGTTATAACATAAAGAGAAGCTGTGAACCAAATATAAGTGAATTTAATTCATTTGAAATAACCCATTAAAAACCAAATACATTTTAAGACAAGACTGATGAAGCAAATGTCAAGCTTGTCTCTGTGTATCCATTTGTCCTCAACCCTAAAGTGTCAACTTTAACTCTTTCTGTTAGACCTCTTCGTCCTCTTTCTTTAAGTCCTAAATGGTCAATAATAACATGTCCTCTCATAATTTTGTCTCCCTCCGTCTCTCTTCCTCACCGAGGTCTTGTAGTCCAAGTCGTCCATGGACCTGAAGAAGTCCAGGCTCTTGGCAGCGCTGAGTTTGCCTTGCTCTATTGTCGTGGTGTTCAGAGAGTCCAGGATCTCCTCCAGCAGGTTCATCTGTCCGGAGCGAGACGAGTCCATGTCCAGTTCCAGCGAGTAGGAGTCATCGCTATCCTCAATATATGAAGGGACGTCCCCGCTGTCCTCTGACGAAAACCTGAGACAGAGAGAGGAGGTATTCCACTTTAATTCATAACATCACCATGTTTGAGAGCATCCAAAGCAGACATTGTGATTATCACTGAGGAAAATACTGTGATAACCAGTTCTTTTGAATAGAAGTAGTTCAACTGGATGAGTGACATTATTCTATTACTAAACATATCCACTTGGGGGCAGTATCACCATGAGTACGAACTGTGCTTGGAAAAGTGGCTTTCATCCTGCTATCAGCTATTCTTTAGTAAAAACGAATCCGTCAGCCAGAAAAAGTTCCCATATCTTGACATACATGACATCCAAACTTGAAACATGATGAAAGCGGCTTCAGTGCCAAAATGTAAAAGTAGGAGAACTCACTTGCTTGCACTGTCCAGCTCATCATCCTCGAGCCCGTAGCCAAGATCTCGAGGGCCCATGCCCATGCTCACGTGATACTTGTTGAAGTTTTGCTGTTAATGAGAACACAGCAAGAGGATGTATTAAGACACGAAGCATAACAAGATAAAACAATATAAGCAGACCCAGGGGCGTCTCAGCTTGAAGATAAACGGCTCCTGATGAACACCAAGTCTAAACGGGATATTCTGCTGAGGCTACAGCTTTTCAGAAAACGAAGCCCGATAGAGAAAAGATGCAGGTCTGTGTCTTGTTGGTCCCCAAAAGAGCAGCTTATAATGAGCCTGAAACCTTCAAAGTTGAGACTAAATTTGTCAAATTTGGGTCTAGGGATAAAATCTTTAAAATGCTCTGCCGCATTTTATTAAACTCAGCATTACTGTAAATGCAAACTAAAAGCAACATGGGTAACCACATTAATCATTTGCATTGTGACAGTGTTGCACGTGACTGTATTAGTTATTGCAGAGTGTTGAATGATCAGTGTGTACTGTAGTTGTCTGACACACAGGGTTTAATAAGCCACCTGTGTACCATATTTAATGGGCGGGTTAAAGAAGAGACAGGAGCTTTACAGAGCAGGGCAGCACTCTCCCCATGGGAGCCCAAATCTGCCCCAGGCCACTTATTAACATGCCTTCCACTCTGACGCACATGTTCCTCTCTCTCTCTGGATGCCCGTGTTCGCTTATGTTAACACTATCTCTCACTTTCCAATTTACACTCTTTGCATTTTGCCCAAATCCCTTCTCACATTTTGCTGCACACCTCCTGTGACTATGTTTACGGGAATATACGAAACTGTCCTTCAGTTCCAAAAGCACTTGAGGGGTACAGTAAGCAAGTTTAGATTTAGCTCCACCTCTCTGACTTCTCTGCATTTTTCTCTGCAGACTCACGTAGCCACATTATCAAAGCCCCGACAAAAAAGGCCCTTTAAAATCCTAAAAGTGTGTGAAGCACCGGGGTGTGCTTAAGAAGTGAAGACTTTAGTGTTTGTGAGGCTGCATTGTGGTTTTGATAAACGTGAATCAGAGACACAAAGGTGAAGAACAGGAAGAGACAGTTAAAGAGCGTCAAAAAGAAGAAGAAAAAAAGACCAAACCAGAATAAGAAGATGAGGAATTAATTCAAAAAGGAATGAAGGAAGTATTGAGAGGCGAGGAAAGACTCCTCAAAGCCCCTAAGAGTGATGGGATGGGGGGGAGGTCGGGGCAGTATTGGACCCGTGAACCAAGCCGGTCTTGATTAGCCGCCGCAGTGCCAGCCAGACAGGCGGAATGTAACGTGTGGCTGGCCTGGCCTCATTTAGGGCCCGTGTTCGGCCAGGGAAGACATACACACCCACATATACACACTCGGTCACATACGCACCCTATTACAAAAAAAAACACAAAGAGTTAAAGTGCCATTTTGTCCATAAAAGTCAGCGGAGGAGATGTGTGCAGTAGCCACTTAAGCCCCTCAGCCATCGAGCTAAACACGAACACATGTGGTGGCACTGCTGATTGGCCGAGCCGCTCCCCTTCCATGGTAGCTTGGAGCTATAATGAAAGACATTTCAGAGGGGCTCAGGCCTGGGATCCCTAAACAGCCTTTAATGGATTCCTGTGTCAGGGCAGTAAATCTGGGGCCAGGCTGATATGCCAGCCTGCCAAAGAGGGCCGACAGAGCGGAGATGCACCTGTGAGACACTAGGGGAGGGGGGGGGGGGGGGGGGGGGGGGTTTGGACACAAACAGTTACACACAAACACAACAAATATGCAACGTATGTACTGTTATTTAGACAGTTTAGAGGGCAGTGTTTAGGGAAGCAGGGCCTCTCTGTGTCTAGGTGTTTATTAAAGCAAGGTGAACCCAAACACAACCAGACACAGGTCATGAAGCCTGGCCCTCTGATCTCAGTTACAGCTTTGGTGCCGTCTACAAGAGGAAGTTCCATAGGGAGCAGTAAATGGATGGTACCTCACTTCACGGCTTTATCAATTTGTCATTCCCTCTCTTCACTGTGACCCTTAAGTGCAGCAGTTAAGATTAAACTATTTACAACCAAGCATTTTACGATAGTACGAGTGGGTTTATCACACTTTTCTTTAAATCTATCAACCTTTTGAATTCATTTAACTTCTAATGTAAGGAACAAAGTAAGATTTAGTCACTTGAGGACAATATATTGCTGCTCCTCAAAAGCTGTCAAAATCAACAGCATCACAACTAAATTTAGATGAACTGCGTGTCAATGTAAGAACAACAAAAATATAGAAAGACTCTTCAAATGTAGATATTCACGAGGAGATGTTCTAAACCGGTGCGAACAAGTCCTGTGTTAAAACAGCTCTGCCTCCCCAGGCCTGGCAGCAGATGATCATACTGTTTCTTCATTAGCTTCTTGCAGTCGGTTAAAGCGAAGGGGAAAATGAAAAAAATGTTTCTCCCCCATGCCTTCCTGTCTCCCTCCATCCCTTTGCTTCAGTGACAGATGTCACCGTTTCGGTCTTCCTGGCTCTCGCTTCCATTCCTCTCCAGCACCTCGCCACAAGTGAGACCCAACAGATCGCAGAGAGCGAGTCAGGAGGAGGTACAGCATTATTTCAACAATCAGGGTTTTTCACTCAAACTATCTCAATCAAGCATGTTCAAGAGGGTGAATATCCTCTTGTGTTCTTTAAATCTGAACATTATTTTGTAATCTTTTTTATGAGTTCCTGGTGAAAGAATTACCTTTAATTTGGGCTTAAAATGTATATCACATCCACTAACAAACCTTTACAGTGGTGGATTGTGGGCAAATGAGGGTAGAATTGTAAGCATGACTTACTTATCCTTTACTCTAACCCTTTAAACCCAGATATGAAATATATCTAAGGAGCCTTACATTTGATACAACAAATTACATTTACTGTAATGTCTGTGTTTATGAGGGGAAAATAGTTCATCACCATCCATTCGAGTAGCTGCATTTGGAGAAACAAACTTTCCTCTCCTCTTCTCTTCTTTCTCTGCATGACCGGTTTTGCAGAACAACCGTGGCTCTCTGTGACAGGGCCAAATGCGAGCAGGCTTTAATAGCCAGTCTAACATTATACATTTCATATGGTATTTCTGAGCGGGCACTGATCTCACAGCTTGGCAGTGAATGTAAAGAGACGCCGGTAAAATGCAAACAAACCTTGGAGAGAGGCAGAGCCTTTGCAGAAGTACGGCCAAGTCTGTTTAAGAGCTGCTCACAGAAGAAAAAAACAGCGTTTGAGGCAAGATCCATTTCTCGTCTGTCCAACTGGCTGTTGCTGAAAGCCAACTTCCCTTTTGCTTAAAAAAGGAGCCATATAAAAGAAGGAAAATGTGCATTATGCTCATTCTGTTGGACACTAAACTAAAGTCATCTCGTAAAATCACCAGGTGTCTCTGTGAATGTGGCGCTGCAGTACTGTGAAGCTGCCAGGAGATGGCACTTTGGTTTCAGCGTGAGAGCAGTGTGTCTCTGAAGTGGGGAGAAACTAAATGAAGTGGAGACTACATACCATACACATAATGATGTACACACACGCACACACACCACTATGGACAGAGCCACTGTACTTAAACTTCTTTGTAATGTATCCTAACTTTTTATAATACAATATTTATCTACAATTTGAATCCTACAACAATTATATTGAGCTACTTACCATTAGCGATTACCTTAAAAAATATAATTATTATAAATGATATCACACACAAGCTGCGTGTTTTATAATCTACAGTTCATAAGTAGGTTGTGAAATAATTGATTGAATAATTATATCCGGAATATATAGATTTTGCATTTTTTCCACATAATAACTTTGTATTTAATGTTGTGAACATAATGCATACTTAATGTCTAATACTGTGCAAAACCTCAAGTTTAGTGTTATTGTATTTAAAATACATACTAGAACAAGTATGTTATACTACTAATATGCTAAAATCACATAAATGTAAATGTTTCTCCTGGTGTAACGCAGACACTTCACAAGTCATGTGTACAGCGCACGTATGTGTCCACCGGCCGTGAACACATGAGCTGTCTCCCACTGATCGAGCACACAAACACACACGCTGCAGCAGGTACACACTGAAGTATCTGTGTGACTTTGAGGAAGATGTAAAACAGAGGAACAGCTCCCTGTGTCCCCCCCCACCAGGTGAAGAGTCCAGAGCCTGGGGCTGTCATTGTCCATCTCTATGACCCTACCTCCACTCTCATCTGCTCTCTTAACAGCTGTCATTCTGCTGTCTCCAACCTGAGGCTAACTGCTAGACGCATGCATGACTGTGTACATACAGCACCCAAAATCAAATACACGTACAAAAGAGCTGAGGTTCAGACACTTTCTCTTTGCAGATTCTCACAGCACAATACCACATTAAACACACACACCTGGTGTACAGTTCTAAAAAAACAGAGGAGGCAATCGCACGCAAAAGCATACAAGAGCCAGAACAATGGCTGTGTTTGTTGTATCAGACAAGGAGTCAGCAGTCCAATTCAGTCTTGTTTTTGTCAAACGGAAGGATTACTCCTACATTCTTAATCAACAAGCCCACCAAACACTGCGAATCACCCACATCGCCAGATACGGCTGAAATATGTAGGCAAAATGACAGCAGCACTTTTACTTTGGTACATGTGTTGGCTGATCAAATAGAATGGGAATTTCATAACTCTGATTATTTTTGCTATGATTAATTAAAGGAAGCTTCTCCAAGATCATTCATTTCATTTCAAGGACAGATATGGAGGGGTTTGCAAAAAAAGAAAAAGATGAATGATAAAAATGTATCAGGCTTTTTCTTTCATACAGGAAGATGGAATGTTTTTAATCACGTTTTGGGAGCGCCAGATGACAACATGTTTCTGATTTGATATTAGCAGGTAAATCAATGTTTGTTGGTCACTTAGTCAGAGGTAGGGACGTGTGGAAAGGACTAACGTTGGTTTTTGGACTCAATGTTCTATAGGTAAAGACACAGCAGGTGGCTTTAAGTCTTAAAGTATACATATAGATCTTATGGTAATGTGAGTTTACTTTCAATTATGCATACGATTTGGTTCAAAAAGCAAAAGCCTCACACTAGCTTCAATATACACACTGTTGCCAGTTAATGAGGCACACCTTCAGAATCTACCGTTCTGCCTTTAAGAATGTTATAATGTTCGGTATTTGTTGAACTTTTTTGAGTTGAGGTGCTAATTCAATTTGATGTAATGTTTTCCATGTTTTTGTGAGTCACTCTGCTGAATTATATTGCATTATTCTGAGAGGGGTTTGGAATTATCTGTCTACTCTCACTGATTTAAGCAGGGTACGATATCAATTCAAGAAAAGGAAAAATCATTTGTTTTGTTTCAGCAAAATAATAAGTGTGAACAAGGAGTTAGGAATGCTAGTCTGTACTGTGTGTGTGTGTGTGTGTGTGTGTGTGTGTGTGTGTGTGCGTGTGTGTGTGCGTGTGTGTGTGTGTGTGTGTGTGGGCACGAAAGGCGGGGGAGGTATGAGGATAATGGTAGGTTTTCTATTTTTTTTCATTTGACTTAACCTTTATTTAACCAGGTTAGTCCCACTGAGAGCAATTTCTCGTGCAATGAACACCTGGTCAAGACAGTTGTGGGCAGAGCACAGCATCAAGATTTCATAGGAAGCAATCTAAAAAAAAAAAAAAGGAAGGAAAACATAGATTGAAGGGAAAGAGGCGTACGGATAAGAGAGAGTAAGAACAATAGCTATATTTTTCCGCCAACATTCTTTTGAACTAAGTCAAATGTAAATACAGTTTGCTTTAAACAGTCAGGTGAAAGTAAATAAATGGCTGGCATATTGTACCTGCATTTGAAAAGAATCTATGAAGAACCTTTAAAGAGTCTTTATTTACTGGCAATATTTTTTTGCAGAGGTGTTTAATAAACAAAAACACATTATTCCTGAACTGGACATAAAAAAAACTTTGGGTGTTATTTTTCAGCATTCCATTTTGAGTAATGCTCATTCAAATGAAATCAACCAAGCAAATATGACTAACGTGGAAATACAACAACACCTTGAAGCAGCCAACTATCTCCAGTAAAATGTACTGTTTTGAAGAGTTTCAATCTTTCAGGGGTCACTGCACACTGACAGGACATACATTATCAAGGCTCTTGGCTTCTCAATTTCCAGTCTTAGTTTCAGTTGACTTAAAATAAATCTTGGGATGTCAGAGTGCACTCTCCTCAGGGGGTTGGGTCTTTAATGTGTAAGGGTCCTCGTAATATACTAATACACCTGGGTTATAAAGTATAAATAATGCAAAAAGGCAAAGTGAAAAGAGGAGAATGGGAATAGCAGCTGAAAAGAAACTGATGGACGACACAGTAAGTATAGACCTATATATATATATATATATTTATATACAAACAAAAACACACACATAACCAGTGCTGTCCTGCGTGTGTCCCCTCCAGTGGTCTCCAGGGACCCGTTACTGTGGCAATGAACAGACCTCAATGGTGGGGACAGGGGTGTGAGAGTGTGTATTGAATACGGCGTATGTGCGTGTTTGTGATTGTGTGCACATCAATTGCATGTTAACGGTTAATCTTTATGTGTTGTGTTGGCCAGTCTTTCTATGTGCACTAGCTGGAGGGNNNGGGGGGTGCGTGGGGTGTCCGAGGAGGCCTTTCGAAAAAGCCTAATTGCCGTTCCTCTCCTCTCCCCCGGCCGTCACACCTTCCTCCGCGCTAAGACTTTCCAGCCTCATCACACACAGGAAACACAACGCTAATTAGAGACAGCACAAACCTCTCCTAATCACACTCTTACATGACTGTGACCAAAAATGTCAGTGTGTGCATGCAGGCATGTTTTTTTGTGTTTTGTTTTTTAGACAGAATTGGAAGTCCACTTGGCATTTTCTTATTTAGCAATAAGCAGTGGAAAAGCTCCAGCTGTGAGTCATAGATTTAAATATATGGTGGAATATCTAACCAGTAACTCAGGCTGTATGTCTTAAACACTGTACAGAAGTGTGCGTTTTTAATTACATTAAACTAAGCTTCCTACTTCAAGAGCTATATGTGACATTGCTACAGTCACACTCCTTCTCATTTTATCTCTTGATACATTTATTGATGAATGTGTATTTTGTGAGCGTGCATCTGCTTGCAAGTTGTATGCCAGCTCTGCACACAACAAAGAGAAAAAAAAAAAGTGCGATGCACTTATGGTGCACAAGCGAATTCTTCAGAGGAAATGCTGACCAGCAGATGAGCTGCTTCTACTGTCCGTGCTGTTCAGAGGAAAATACTGAATGTACAACATGAGTGCGTTGTAAGAAGAAAATGCTTATCATTACGTTTGGCACCCCGACAAACTACTGTACTTCCAAGAGTGGATACAAGAGAGAGAAAGTAGAAGGAGGAAAATAGAGAGAAGGATGAAGATTTAAAAAAAAAAAAAAAAAAAAAAAAAAGGTGATGGGGAGAGGAAGAGAGGAAGAAATGAGCAAAATGTGGAAAGAAGGAGCACAGAAGTGGAACACTGCATCCATGTCGGTAAAGTGAAAACTGAGCTCTGGTATGATCAGCCAGGGTACATGTAGTTAACTCATTTACTGATGTGCATCTGTGTGTGTGTGTGTGTGTGTGTGTGTGTGTGTGTGTGTGTGTGTGTGTGTGTGTGTGTGTGTGTGTGTGTGTGTGTGTGTGTGTGTGTGTGTGTGTGTATGTGTGTGTGTATCATACCCGTCTCATCTTCTGCAGTCTCCTTGGAGACAGGCTCTTGGTGCTGGTGGGAGACCCCGCACAGACCATCACCCCCTCTTCTTCTTCTTCCTGAGAGAGCATCAGTAAATGTAAATCATATATGACTGGAGTGGTAAGTGAACCAAACTAACTCAAATATGAGCTACATGGAGAATAATGTGTTTTTGCATTGAATGTGATACATATAATGATATATTGAACTAAAGCAATACAGTAATGCTCTTTATCCAGTTTTTTTTTTCTCAGTGACATTTGTAAACGATTATAGAATCAGACGCTTTCTACACACACTGTGTATTGCCAGTCATGCACCAAATCTGCTGTTAAACATGTTCACATATAAATGCACCACTTACATGTGTTTGAGTGACATTTGATAAAAACTACTGTGCCCTGCTGATTTATAATATAATTGAGACTTATATATAGAAAACAAAGAATATATTCCCATGACCCTTCTTTAAATATTTCTGTCTTCAGTAGGAACAAATGTGTTTGTGTCTAACAGCCAATGACATGTTACTGCAATCGGAAAAATTAAGAGAAGAAGTAACATATTGTTGCTTATTGTATCTTCTTTTTTTTTAATAGCAGATTTATTTAATATCACCAGCCGTATCCTTTAAAACATTCCCTACAAGGTTATACCAATTATATTCAAGGTAACCACCAGTGATGAGTTTAACTTCAATATGTTTGTGCATTGATGTCCTTGTGTCGACATCTGTGGCTGTCAGCTGAATAAATGCACTGCAGATTCAAAGTGTGAAAGTCAAATTAATTCATTTGTGTATTTGGGTATGAATTTATGAGCGCACTGGAAATCTGTTTAACTTCAAATCTAATAGATTTCAACACCTCTATTTGCCACTGTGTGTGTGTATGTGTGCTCTTGGTGTTCATCATCAGTGCCCTCTCTGCAGTCTCCCACTGACAGATCAAACTGCTATTGCCTTATCAAATTCTTCAGGCTTATGGAAACATACACCTCATTACATTAGCTTTGAGGAAATCACAGGCTCACTGATGAAATATGCAGACAATAAAAGAGAAAGAGGGGCCGGGGCTCCGCTGACATGACAGGCCATAGCCAGAGGGGCGTTGGTTAAAAATGTACAGCCTTGAACAAAGCGCTAAGCAGGCTTCAACAGTCATTAAAGGACCCAGCGTCAAAATCACACACTCCATGTAAAGCAGCCTTCCTGTCTGTTTCCATGAGAGGGGTGTGTGTCTACTGTATCTGTAGCACACGCGTGTTTCTACGAGCATGTGCACGTGTGACAGAGAGGTGTGAGGGTCCGTGATGCTCACCCTCGCTTTAAGTCGGCCCTTAAAGTCCCGGATGCCCCTCTTGGCATGACTCTTGGCCTTGGAGGGGAAAAACAACACACACATTGGAGGATTACTAATCAAAACATGTTATTAACATTCTGCTCTGGTTTCATGTAACATCAAGAAATGCTTTGATCCCTGTGGCAAAAACACGGAGACAAAAGGCTGGATGAGAGAGCCTCGCACACTAACAGGAGGCGAAAACATGAAAGGGCACCCTGACCACCTATTGGACATCACGTAACGGCAAGCTACTGCTCATCAAACACACACCAGTCAGGAACAATGCTCCCATTCCCTCCACCGTCAATTCCAAAACAGAAGTCAATTTGACGTTTATTCAGGCACACTGATTCATTTTTAACTAAACAACCTGGAAAACGTCATTTAAGTTTCTCAGGACTATTTCAGAGGAAGACTTGATGTTTCAAGGTGCCGTAGATATACATGAAAAGTGCTTTAAACAACATGAAATCATCGTTTTGCATGAGAACGTACTTTAGTCACAGCTGTGTTGATGAGTGCTCCTCCTCTCTGTAATAGACACAGAAATACATTAGTCAGTCACTTGAGAGGCGTTTTGGGTGAGTTTCCACACATACACACACATTCAAATGTTATTATATTAAACATTTATTTATGCACACAGCATGCAATCACATCGTTATCTTATCAAATTTCAACATGAATTACTCGGAGCAAGTCGAAATACTTTGACAATCATTTGATTATTTATTGTGATTTCTGCTTGCATTTTGTCATTCTGTGATGTACAGTACACTTGTCAAAATTACTCGACGCTCAGAGAAAGGACTAATCGTTGAAATCACACACAACCAAAACTGTCTGCAGCTTTTAATATTATTGTAATGAAAGTGTAGTATTACAAATGGTGACAACAAGCATAGGATCATATAGCTGAGGCATTGTAACAGCAGGATTCAAAGCATTCAGGAGGGCTTTATTTCGACGCAGCGATGGAAGAGATGCGTGTGATTGATTTCTTCTTTCAGTTGTGCAGACTGACATTATGGCACCCAATATCTTTCTGCGCCTGTCTTCTTTTCTTTCTCTCTCACACAGAGTTGCTGCATCTCTCCTTTGGCGTCTCACTCTTTTTGTCTGTTTGGTCTTTAGTGTAAGCACAAAGCGTCGGCTAAACGGCTAAACAGAGTAAATGGCAGACAGCGTTTCAGAAGTCGGCAGAGGGAGAGGAGGAGTGAGGCCGAGGTGAAGGCCCCTCGTATAGATCCCTGTCAGTCAGGAAATGTGAACTTTAACAAACCTTTGAAGAGCACTCTAGAGAACTAATTCAGCCTTAGCTGACGGCGTGGGGAGAGAGGGAGGGTGAGGGAGAGATAGTCAGTGAGAGAGAGAGAGGGGGGGGGGTCCGTGGCAGAGATGAAAAGAGGGAGAGGAAGATAAAGAGAGAGAGATAGGGGAAGAAAAGGAGAGGAGGAAAGAGACAGGAGATGAATAAGGGGGGAGAGATCTATGTTCTTGGGTCGGTTCAGCGGAGTAACGCCTGTGTTTGCTGCCAGATCAACATGTCATGTCGGAGGACGTCTTGTCACGTCAAATCACTTCTGTCTCCCTGTCTGTCTCCCCCCCTGTCTGTCTCCACTGTCCTGCTGCACGCGCCGCTTCACACACCAAACTGCACTCGAGCTGGATCTGTACATCCAGGCAGCCCCCCCCCCC